GATGTCGCTTTCTTTGAGTTTTAAGTTTTTGCAATGATCCATGAATGATTGTTTCACATTTAAGTTTCATTTCACGAGCCAATTCTACATCAACAAATGTCTCGGAAAATTTGTAACTGTTTAATAAAAGTAATAGTATTATCAGTTAACAATTAAAATGTAATATATATCGAACTGACGTTGTATTTATTTACCTTAACCATAGATATAACATTAGTGTACGATGAACAGATTCGAGCTCTCCAAGCATTTCATCATTATGGGGTACTTTTTCTGGAATAGAGACAATATTTGAGATGTGACAAGGTCTTCCTTGGCTATGCAACATAGCAAACTTGATTGTAAATGTTTTAATATTAATTATTAACATTATTGAGTTTCATAAGTTTAAAGCTGAATTTATTGTTATTAACCAAAGGAAACAATTCAATTACTTTTTGTACATTCTTCATGATACGTTGATCTGATGTGTTTACGGGTCCGGTAACAAAAATGAATCGTTCAGGAATAGTCATGGCAATATGTTCGATTGTATTTGCAATAAACTTGGTGAGAAAAAAAAAATAGGAACTTAACAATGAGAGCTATTCATAAAATCAATTAACTAGGCAATTGTGAACAAACCTTTTGCGTATGAAAATTGCATAAAAAGTATTGCCCATCTACTCGAGCTAAATCTTCAAATTTTTCCTATAAATCAAACGAAGATAAATATTATTATAGTTTAAATCTATTAAAATACGCCGATATGATATATGTATATATATCCAAATTACCAAAAGAGTCGCAAACTCTTTAATGTCCGGCAATTGATGGGCAAAGAGTTCTACCATTTCCATTGTAGGTTGTAATCCTGCCATCTTTTTTATTTGAAATGACATGTGAATATATAAATAATAGTAAGAATAATAACAGTTTTATATCCTAAATTAATATAATTGTATTTACTTCTAAATCTTTATGTGGTGCTGCCATCGCTTGATGTAAATATCTTAAATCCATGTTTTCGAGTCTGAATTAATGAAATGTACAAAAAATATTTATAATTTAAAAAATAAACTTTTATGAGGCGAAATTATTTATTCCTCATAATTACTTACGCTGTCACTTCTCCAACAGCGTTTTCAGTACCAAACCGGCCAGCTCGTCCGGCGATTTGCTTGATCTGGGGAATAGGGATATATCGAACACCTATTCCATCATACTTTTTTATGGATTCAAATACTATTCGTTTAATATTTCTAAATGTAATTTATTCGGTGGAATTAATACATAATAATGTTACAAATAATCAAAGATATTTTATAAAAGCAAAAGAGTTTACCTACAAATTTAACCCCATTCCAATAGCATCGCTTGCGACCAGTACATCAAACCCACTATTGGGGTCATTGAATAATTTGGCCTGTTGCGAACGAGTTTCTAAAATAGAAATTTTTTGATATTAGTAAAATACACCATCGATGAGAAACAGTAATAAGCAATGTTATGTTCACACACCAGGTGGAAGGCTACCATATGCAACAGCACAGCGAAGGCCAGTAGCTGCTTCAATTTCATGCTTTACACTGAAGATTGATTTCCTGGAAAAAGTTACCACGCAATCGCCTTTTTTGATTTTTTTAAGATCACCATCAAGTGATTTTTGACTTATTTCAAGAGTAGAAAGACGTTTATATTCTCGAACCTCAATGTCTTCATTGAGACTTTGGCAAATCGACCTAATGAGTGGCACAGCCGAAGGTTCTCCACATATGTGAATCTCTTTAGCTTGCAAACCTAATTTTATTCATTCATTTATTTATTGTTATTATTTCTTTTTTTTAAAAGGATCTTATAAATTCTGTTTAGTTGATCCAAATGTCAAATAAGAAAACAAGAAGTTTATGTACCCAAGAGGGCCTGTGTCCATGCCCATCCTCGCTGTTGATCACTTATCATTTGAATCTCATCAATCACAGCAACGTCAACTTGTTTTTGTAGATTAACCATTTCAATAGTTGAAGATGTCAAAGGAACATTAATCCCTTTTAACTCTCTTCTTTCTTCTCCAGTCACAAGATTGCATGGGATACCCTTACTATTAAATCGGTCAAATACTTCATGTGCAAGTAAACGCAAAGGACCACAATACACTCCAGAATTTGCACTCTCTAAACACTTAAGGGCGTTATATGTTTTTCCAGAATTGGTTGGCCCAACATGAAGAATGATCTTACTGAGAAAGAGAAAAATAAATCAAACGCAAAGCTTTTGTGCTATATTTATTTATTACTAATTGAGCATACCGCTGTATAGTTCTTGCAGCTGGATGCCATTCTGCGGGAAATCTAAGATCACTTAATTGTTTCAATGAGTTAAATCTCTGCTTATCTTCTTCAGACATGAAATTCATGGAATACTCCATAAATGCGACCTTTAATAACTTTTCAACGGCATCTCGCTAAATTTATTTACAAAATTAATTTTTTGTAAGATTTAATTAATGATTTAGATCTTTATTAAACAACGTACCCCACCCTCATTGAGTGCTGATTGTAAAGTTTTCTTATCACATTTTTCTAGCTTACCCTCCCGCGCCTCCTTCGAAAATTGTCGTATTGCTGTACGATATTTCATTATTTGAACACCCATTTCAGTGCTCTGGCGCCTGATTTCCTTTGAATTTTGAAAATCAGATAATATTTCCTTTAATATACGTTCAATTTCTTTTGGTTCATCATATATTCTATGTGAATTTATTCAGATATAGTTGTTAGGTAACACCATTTTATGTAATGACTAAAGACGAAACTTAAAACGCGAAAGACAAAACCTCTGGCGAAAGGAAATCCTGCCGAATGACGGCGTTAGTCCTGGAAAATTGACAAAGCCTCTAGCGAAGGGTGAAACTTTTGAAGTTCTAATGAAAGACGATACCCTACGAAAAATAAATGGCTGAACTATATAGTTGGTAGATAAACCCATTTTTCCATAATGCGAAAATCATCAGCCAAAGTTCTAATAGTAATTCTATTTTATTGGCTGGGTATTTTTACTATGTACAAGATATTACGTAATATTTCTAGAGAAATTTTTTTTTCATATAAAATTGCATATAATATAAAATTACAATTAGCAAGTTATTGATATTGAAATCAATAATTTTATATTATATGGTGCAGAAAGTCTACTTAACAATTACATGAAATGTTTTAATTTTTTAAATGACTATAACTTTTTATTTAAGAAGTTTTTTTTTTTTATGCAAATACTATCAGTTAAAATTTTTATTGGTAGTGATAGTAGGAAATAATACATATTGTGAGAGTACAACTAGCCACATATACAACTTTAGATTGTCTATTTTAAGTAGTCTACTCAAAGGTTTTATACTAGTTGCTATACCTGAAATCTATTTAAAAATTTTTTATTTAAACTTTCTAACTCTATAATATTTACTCATATTTTATTCATTTTTACTAAATTTAGTCTAATTCTGTATTACTTTTTTAGGAAGACACTCAAGCTAATATTTGCTTACAAACTTTATAATTCAGAGTTTAGGTTCTATTCAAAGTATCTTATCACTAACTCATTAATCAATAGGTGTTATAAAATCTAATTATGTTATACTATATTCTAATCTAGCTTGTATATACTCTTGTTCAATATTTATACAAATCTAGTTTCTATTATAGTTTTCTACTAAATTAGTTTTCTATGTTTTATTAGATATTTTACAAAACTAATTCTCCTAAATCTAGTTAATTACTAAGCTAAATTGGTGTTGTTATATGATCTTAGTTCTTATAGCTATCAGTATATAACAGACTTATTTGTATCTTATTCAATTATATCTTTTTTATATAAACTTCTTTATTAGATTAAGCATTAACTATTATGACTATTAAAATTTATACTAATTTATCTAATTCAGGATTTTTATTATGTAGGTCTCCTGCTTATAGATCTTATTAAGATTTATTCATATAATATTATATTTCTCCAAATATTGTATCATATTTTCAATATCTAATTAATATTAGTATAATATAATTTATAAGATACAACTTTAGAAATAAACAGGGTTTATCATATAAATACAAAAAGTTTAAGTAATTATTCAAATTGTCAATAGTAGGATTTGAATCTCAGACTTTTTGTATAGCAGTTTAGCAATTTAACCACTACATAAAGATTATCAGACTTCTTATTTAAGAGGTTTTAAAAAAATCTAATTAGTAATTTTATAAAATTATATTAACTCTATATATATACTAAATATCTTTTTAAAATCTCATTACTATAAAGAGTTAATATATTTTAAAAATTGAAATTTTATATGTAAATTAATAAATTTATATATAAATTTTTAATTTTCAAAACATATTAACTTTTTATAATAATAAAATATTTAATATATATATAGAGTTAATATAGATCTATAAAGTTTATTAGTTGGATTTTTTTAAAACTTTTTAAATAAAAAATTATAACTATTTAAAAAATTGAAATACTTTATATAATTGTTAAGTATATATTTTTTGTATTATATATATTTTTATATTATACTGTTACAAGTAGCATAGCCTTCTCAATACAACACAAGTAACATAAAACACAAAAGGAAGACTCCTAATAATATCAAAGTAGAATGTCACATCACTGTGGTAGTTCATTTAAAAGAAGTATTTTTGACAAGGCCAAGGTATACTTTATTAAGATTTAATAGAGAACTTTATTAAAGAACTGTGAAGAACTACAGAACTTATTGAGTACTAACTAAAGGATATTAGAACTAGTCAGAACTGTTAGAACTTGACAGAACTACTTTATAAGAGAGGAGAAAAACTAAAGTTTATATATCTTTTTTCTAAATATCCTCAAATGTAGTTAAATATTATCAAACATAACTAAACATCATTAATCATAATTAAATATTATTAAACGTAGTTAAACGTCATCAAACATAGTTAAATATCATCAAATATTATCAAATATTATCAAATATAGATATTACTCAAAATGTAAATTCTAAGTTAACTCAAGAACTACATATGCTACAAATATGATTTATAGCTCATTTTAAAGGCCTAATCGAGCTATATCGAATAGTATAACTTAAATCTATTTTTAGCTATTAAAAATTTGAAAGAAATACTAATATATAAATCTAAATATCAAATATAATATAATAATAAATAATTAAGAAATTATGCTAAATTTTATTTGATAACAGAATCAAAAGCTTTTGATATATTCTGTAGTAGAAACTAGACTTTTTATTGAGTAATTATAGTATATTTGATTATAGATATAAGTTAAGATATTAGTTGAAGAATAGATTGTCTAAGAAAGGCTATATAATTAAGTAAAAAAAAGATTTTATATCTATTAAAAATACTTGATAGTTTATTTGTAATAATCTTAATAAATATTTTTTTAGTATAGTTAATTAGAATAATAGGTTTTGTTGTTTTTAGTTCAAATATGTATTATATTTTCTTTAGAATAGACTAAATATTAGAGTTTAGTTATTGTTTTAGAAGTTATTTAAATATTAAACATATGTTAAATATATTTAAGAAATATGAAAGAGTTAATGAAAGAAGATATTGTAGTATTTTATTAAAGATTATAAGTAGTCTAGTTGCTTTAAATCTAGAAGCTTCTTTTATTATTAAAATAAGTTCTTTTAAAATAAGTTGTTAAATTAATAATTAATATATATTAGAACTAATTTTTTTTATTAAAGTATAGTATTTTTCTTATTCTTTTAAAAAGAATTATTCATTATATTTAATCTAGTCTAGTTTTAAAAATGAAACAGAGTTGCTTCTTTTATTTGTTGAAGTTCTGTAATTACTGAGTCTGAAGTAATTATTTTTTTAAAGCTTATATGATCTTATTAGCATTGTAGTATATTATTGATCATTTAACTTGTATTGTCTTTAAAATCTGTGTATTTGTAGTTTATATAGTACTTGATTCATTCAGACTACTCTAGATTTTTCTTTGTATTTTTGCTTTTCCAAATTATATTCTTAAGATTTTTAATTATATTTACTATATAATAATAGTAAAAGTATTCATAGATCTATACCAGCTGACTATATATATTATACGAATAAATGGAAAAAATTTCAGATCACTTAGACCAAATTCAGAGCTAAAGAAAAACTATAGAAAACTCCTAAACTCGATTAAGAAACTAGTAAAACTCCACTAAGA